TCTCCTATCTAAGTTAGCTTGGAGGCTATGCTTGAACACTCAAAGTCTATGGGCTAGGGTGGTGAAGTCTAAATACTTTCAGAACTCGCATTTCCTAAAGGCTAAGCCAAAAGAGGGGCAATCATGGGGACGGAAAGGTACCCTTGAAGTTAGAAAGGTCTTAAACAAGAGCATGTTCTAGAAAGTCAATAAGGGTTCGATGGTGAATCCTTGGTCTGATTCTTGGATCCCTAGGGTTGAGGGATTTACTCCCATAGGCCTGACTACTTCTATTACTATAAATCTATCTATTTCAAAATTGATGAATGAAACTAACAGATGGTGGGAGGTAAGGTAAGGGAACTGTTTATTTGGGTGGCTATAACTCTGGTATTTTCACTGTGAAATCTACTTATTTTGTAGCAGCTCAAATGATCCAAAATACCAAATCTGGTCAAGGTATTCTAGTGAGGGAAAACCTGTGATTCAGTCCCCCCTCTTGCTTGAGGTGTGGTGGGGATAAGGAATCTATTATGCATGCCCTCTTTCATTGTGAAAAAGGCAAGATGCATCTGGTTTGGGCCTAAGAGTCAATAATGTTAGCAATGATTTAAGTTTTTATGAGTGGCTTTCAAACCTACTGAATTCCCTTAGCCATCTTGAAGAGTCCCTCTTTGCTCATACAGCTTACTGCCTTTGGGAAATCTGGAAAGGAAGGAATAGGTTTATATTTGAGAATGAATGTACTAATCTAATTTTTGTTATCAATGCTATTCATAGGTCCTTTGCAAAGACATCTCTAAACTTGTGTTAAGAGTGTAAGGGCATTTATGTTCTTTTACATGTTTTATACTTGGGCGCCTATTCAAGGGCCCATTTGTAATTTCACTCAACATTTTAAGTGAAAAGTTCCTAGGTGTGAATAGTACACACCGATTACTCTGGACAATCCTCTTCTTCTTCTTCTTCTTCTTCTTCTTCTTCTAAACACTTTAACTTGGTATTAGAGTATCATAAGATCAAGGAGAGCATCATAGTCGACGACGTCCATGTGTTTCTGATGCTCGTTGATGTGCCTTGTTTTTAGAGGGATTTTGATATAGTTTTGATGAAGGTCTGAAGCTGTTTTATATTTTCTTGGATTTTTCGGATAAAATTAAGTACAAAATCCAGATTTAGAGTTTAGGACTTGCATGCTCGCATGGTGGGTTGGTTGCTGCTAAAACGTAACGTTTGAATTGTGAAGCACTTACAAACTTTATTTGAAGAGAAAGGAGTAATTCATCAAAGTTCATGTCTTGATACCTCCCCCCTTATAAAATGGGGTATTAGAGAGGAAAAATAGACATGTTGTTGAAGTTGCCAGAGGATGGTTATTCCAGATGCATGTCCCAACTCGATTTTGGGGGGATGCTGCACAAACAGTTGTATATCTTGTTAACAAACTTCCCTCATGGACACTTTGTCTCCAATCTCCTCATCAACTTCTTTTTTCTGATGAGGATACCTTCCATCTTCCTCCTAAGGTCTTTGGGTGTCTGCTTTGTCCATGACATGAGTCCTTCTAGGTTGAAATTTGATCCAAAGTTTATTAAGTGTTTTCTTGGTATATTCTTCAGTCCAAAAAGGGTACCGTTGTTATGACCATTGCTTTGGAAAAAAGTATGTGTCCAAAGATGTCACATTCTTTGAGTCTACTCCCTTTTTCTCTTAATCTCATCCATCTCTTCAGGAGGAGAATGTTAGTGAAGATCAGACTCCTTTCTGTATGTCAATTCTTGTTCCAGCTGTAACTGATTGTCAATCCTTCTTTTTCTTCTCCTCCTCCCTGTAGTGGTAGCAATACTCCTCTTGTACCTCCTTTGCCTCTTCCTATTCCTTGGTCTTGGCACTGGTGGTTCGTTAGATGGAAAAAAGAGGATGACTCTAGAGATTGAATGTCCATTACAATTTGATTTCCTTGACTCAGGTAATTTAGATTTTGAACCTCTTCCTGTTTTTGATGCTTGTGTTGAGTATGTTATTAAGCCTCCTAGTTTGGATTCTGACGTTAACTTCCTATGGCTGTTCGTAAAGTAAAAAGGACATGTGCTAAATATCCTATCTCAAATTGTCTCTTATAATACCTTATCTCCCTCTTATTGTGTCTATATCTCTTCCATTGCTTTTGTTTTTATCCCTTACAGTGTTATTGAGGTAGTGTAGTTCCCTCATTGGAAGGATGGTATGAACCAAGAAATGGAGGCACTTGAAGAAACCAGACATGGGAAATTGTTTCTCTTCCAAAGGGAAAAGTTCCTATTGGATGTAAGTGAGTTTACATAGTGAAGCATAAAGTTGATGGCTTAATTGAAAGGTATAAAGCTCAACTTGTGGAAAAAGGGTACATTTAGTCTTGCGGCATTGATTACCAAGGAACCTTTGCTCCAATAGCCAAGATGAATTCAATCCAAAATTATCATGTCTCTTGCTACCCACTACTCTTATTCCTTATATCAAATGGATGTTAAGAATGCCTTCCTTAATAGCAACCTTCAAGAAGAAGTTTACATGAAACTTCCTCCAAGATTCCCTAGGAGTAACATTTTTCGTTTGAAGAAGTCCCTTTATGGCCTTAAATAGCCCTCCTAGAGCTTGGTTTGACAGATTCAAAAAAGTTGTCTTGAAAATTGACTTCTCACAATCTCAAGCTGACCATACCTTGTTTATCAGGAGAGCAAATGGAAAAGTGACTATGGGGATGATATCTCTTGAATTGTTGAACTGAAGTCTTTTCTTGCTATTGAATTCGAAATTAAGGACCTTGGAAACCTTTGGTATTTCCTAGGGATTGAGATTGCAAAGTCAAAGAGAGGAATTTATATTTCTTAGAGGAAATATGTCTTTGATCTGCTTTAGGAGATAGGAAAATTGAATTGTAAACCAACTGAAACTCCAATTGATCCCAATCATAAGTTGGGAGTTGATGATGGAGATGTCCTTCTTGACAAAGGTGTGTATCAAAGATTTGTCGGTCGCCTTTTCTACCTGTGTCTGACTAGACCAGATGTATCATCTACTGTAAGTGTGGTAAGCCAATATATGCACAAGCCTAAATCATCTCATATGCAAGCAATGAATAGAATACTTGCCTATTTGAAAGGATGTCTAGGAAAAGGGATGTTGTATTCTAATCATGGGAATCTGAAGGCAGAGGCCTATTCTGATACTAACTGCGCAGGTTCTATTGTAGTGATTTAAAAGGAGTGCCTAGGCGCACAGACGAGGCACATTTTAAGGTATACACCTCACTTAGGTCCTAGGCGCACCCCTAGACCCCCATGCCACACCCCTCGAACCCCCTATTTGCTAATGTTGTTCATTCATTCATCCTAATAAAATATCTTCTTAAAAAGCAATTAAAATGCGGCTCGTAGAATCAGGAATGTAATATGTTTTATATCACATTAGCTACTTGAAGTAATGCAATTGAGGAAAAAAGAAATTGTGGGTTTTACATGCTTGAAAATGTTTTATATGTTTGTTTTTATTTTTAAATTCTCATTTGAATATGATTTACATGTTATGTTTATGTTTTTAATTTTAGATAATAGGTTTTTTAAAACATTTATTTTAAAATTTAAGTTTATATTTTTTATTAATATTATTATTTTTTTAAATTTTCTAACATTTGTTTTTTGTGTTTTTGTACCTTGCTTCAAAAAGGCGCGTGCCTCAAGTGCAAATTGGCCCCTAAGCCTTTTTTGCGCCTTGTGCTTTTAAAACACTGTTCTATTGATGATAGGCGATCTATTGTACCTAGGTGGGTGGTAATGTTGTATCTTGAAGAAGTAAGAAATAATTAGTCATGGCTCGCCCTAGTGCAGAGGTAGTGTACAAAGCTATGGCTCATGGAGTTTCCGAATTGTTGTGGCTGAAGAACTTGTTGATATAAATGGGAGTGCAGATTGAAACTCCAATAATTATATATTGTGACAATCAAGCTACCATAAATATAACCCACAATTTTGTTCAACATTACCGTACAAAGCATATAGAGGTTGACCAACATTTCGTTAGAGAGAGTTGCCAGTGGAAAGATTTATTTACCTATTGTGAGGTCTGAAGATCAGTTAGATGATTGTCTTACTAAAGGTGTCTCCAAATCAAAGCTTGACAACAATTTGAACAAGCTGGGCATAATAAATATCTATGCTCAGCTTGAGGGGGAGCGTTGAGAGTGTAAGGGCATTTATGTTCTTTTACGTGTTTTGTATTTGGGTGCCTATTCAAGGGTCCATTTGTAATTTCGCTCAACATGTTAAGTGAAAAGTTCCTAGGGTGCCTATTCTTCTTCTTCTTTTCTTATTTTTGAACACTTTAACTACTTGCATCAGAGATTGGAAGACTCTTCAACCAAATCTCAGGCGAAATCTTCTTTTTGTGTTTGTCTCCTCCAAATAGGGGTTTGTTAAAGCTGAATGTTGGAGGTTTTTTGGCTCCCAATAAAGCTTCTTTTGGTTTCATTGCAAGAGACTTGGATGGTATGTGAAGATAGGTTGGCTGCGGTTCCATGTTGGCTTCCGCTCCATTAATGGCTGAACGTTTGGCTCTTTTTGAGGCTTTAAAAATCCTACTTCCAAAAGTTCTTGTGAACATAGTGGTGGAATTGGATTATACTCAGCTTGTAAACCAGTTATTAGACCACAGCAGCTCTAGTCTTCCTGATCTGGTTTTTGTCAAAGAAAATATTTCGAAGCAATGTGAAGGTCGTTCGATCAGTTACTGTTGGGTTCCTTGCGAGATCAATCGAGCTGCACATCTTTTAGCCAAGAAGGGATTCACTTCAAACTTGTTTTCAGAAGAAGCTTTTCCTTTGTGGCTTTCTTTGAATCTGTCTGTAGTTGTCTTTGTTTAGCTTTTTCATTTTGTAGTTGTGCTTCTGTTGTTCTCTGGTGTTTTGTTGTTGTTCTAATGAGATGCAGTTACCAAAAAAAAAAAAAAGAATATGCATATAAGAGAATTGCATTGCCATTTTCTTTCTTTACCTTTATTTCTCCTTCACATTTATACAGGTACTGTTTTCTTCATCATTTTCCAGTTCACTGATCAATTGTTCTATCATCATCTTATAAATAGGCATATAATGATCAGTTATCATAGTCCTAGATAGTCGCAGTTTACTGTACATATCTCTGGAGGTCTCATAAATACCTACATGTTCTTTATTCGAGCCACCATCGCCTGGATTAGTTGTGTCAGATGGTTGCATGGCAACTATATGCATGATCCTACCAGGTGGGTAGAAGCGGTGTGTTTCTGAAGCATCCGATGATGTGGAAGGCTGCTTGTTTTCTGCTGTATTAGTCAGCTTCTTTTCCTCTTCTGTAATTTCTTTAGCAGCTGCAGCTTCTTCTTCCCGGGCCTTAACATTGGCTTCAATTCCCTGCCTGTGAAGCTCTTCCAGCTCATTCCACAACTCCCCTTCTGACATCTCTTCAGCAGTGGATGTACTGGCAGCACACTCCACGGGAAGGAGCTCCTCCTCCGATGTCTCTTCATGCCCTGATCCCCCCTTCGAGCAACGAAAATCCAGCCCATCCAACTTTGGTTCTCTCAAGACCCTTTTGGGCACAACACGCTGAGAGCTTTTTTCAGGTAATAGAGGAGCATCTGGCGCATCTCCTTCCTCTTTAGAGTTTAATGATGGAGCTACAACACGGTGACGTGCACCCATGCATGCCCATGATGACAGAGAGTAGCGGGTCCTGACAACAGCCTGGGCAACATCTTGTGCACGTTTCATCACTACCTGTAACCACCCAACAGATTTGAATGGTAAGAAACTGTGGATAATGGAAAAACGAGAATTCAACGTCAAGGGATAAAAATGCATGTGATTACCAATGTTGAGAACGGGAAAGAAAAAAACTATAAAACCTGCTAATTTCATCGAGTCACCTAGGTCAGTTTGCCACCCCATAGGAAGAGTATGGAAACATGTCCATGGACTGAGTTCAGCAGTGGAAAATATTTCCTTGTGTGCACGAAACCTCTTTTTGTAAATAATTACAGAAACCATCTAGTTTTCTTAGTCTCAATTTGTTTCACTGCAAAAGGGGCATAAAACTTCTAAATCTATGAAATCTCAGTTTTATTTTTGGCCCTTTAATGGCCAAAACCTTGTTTTCTTTCTCTTGTTACATGAGTATAAACTTAGCTTTTGTAACATCTCATGGCCATATATCCTAGTTTGGGAAAAGAAAAAACAAAAGCAAAAGTAAAAAACCTTAAACCAAGGTAAATAGCATTATGATTTGCCAAGTGCTGGACATGCATTCCCCATTATGGAGTGCTACCTGAGTACCGTTGGAGACAGGGCGCAGAAGTGCACCTGCACCTGCAACCCTTGCTCTTGCACTAGCTATAGATGGTAAGTGAGATCCCAGAGCAGATGCAGACCAATACACAACATTTAGGAATCTCGTTTTCTCAACTTGATCCCGCAGATCATTAAACCAAGATGAAGCTGTGACCTGCAAAAGAATATAAATAAGGTTTCTGCCCACAACAAGCATATAGATTGGAAAAGCTCTGATACATTAGCATATCCCAATCAAGTTAGGAAGTCTACACAACCCAAGAATCTTCTATCAGCAAAATTTGCAGACGGAAAAGGGGTTCTCGTTTTGCTTTCACTATTTATGCAATAAGTTTCATCCTAAAAGATGCTGCCATGTGTTCAAGATAAGTCCTTTTTTATGGGCATCTTTAAACTTAAGAGAATTTAAAGGTTGGACTGTGACTCAAGTCACTTGAGAAATAGCTGATCCAGAGTGAAAACCATCTAATTAACTATCAGGATTGGCTATGGGATCCTACATGTGGTAGAAATGGTGGATTCATCAACTAGTAATATTTTCCATAAGAAGTTAGTTGGTAAGAAAAACAATTGCAGCACCTCAGAACGAAGACCATCAACAGAAGCAGTTGAGAATGTTGGCACCAGATCAGAACCATTGATTATAGTGGTAATGAAATGCTTCCCTGATTCTGCTAAATCCCAAGTCATACAAGCAGCTGCAAATGACAAATGTCATTAGGAAAATATTGTACTCCTTTTAAGGTACAAGGTCTTATTCAAGTATCAACAAGTAAAGCTTTAAATTTAAGTATTTAACAAGCCATAGAACTTGGATAGAGTTTTTGAATGTACCCTATGAATTAATCCAGGAATAAGTACGAGTATATATAATAATACATGTAAATTATACAAACATGCACTTAGCCTCTCAAGATATAATGGCAACAAGGAGAGAGCAGGCATGAGTTCTCAAATGCAAGCATTATCTAAATGACATATAATGAGTGTGGGAAATGAGTATGCTGAGATGGACAAGTGGAAAAACTAGAAAGGATATGGTCAGAAATGAAGTCATTTGAAGGAACCTGTAAGTGGCTTCAATAGGTGATAAAACAAGAGAAAGTAGACTAAGATGGTTTAGTCACATGTGTAGAAGACCATCAACAGCACCTATAAAAAGAAGTGATATCTTGCAATTTGAAGGGGCTAGAAGGATAGAGGTAGATCAAAAAGGACATGGGTCAAAGTAGTAAGATATGATTTAAGAGCTCATAATCTAACAATGGATATGGGATTAAACAGAACTGGATGACAAAACAAGATTCATTTAGCTGACCACATACAGTTGGGATAACACTTGGATAATGATGATGATCTGAAGGATAAACAAGTTCGTTTTTCTCAAATGCCCAGTTTTATTTTGGTAAGCGAAAGTAACATTAAAAATGGAAAAACAATTATAAGAAGTAGCATGGTATATTATGTTACAATCTCTTAAAACAACCTTTACAAAACCAACATGTAAAGATTAGTGAACCAATTTTCACTCCATCCTAAAGTTTAACTATTTGTGTTACCTTTTTTTATTGGAAATAGTAATTTCATTCAAATTAAATTATAAATAAGTACAGCCGTCTAACACCCCAAAATAGGTGTTTCTCCTTTAATTCAATAACTTACAATAGAGCCCAAAAGAGATCTTCCCTAGTCCCTTGTTTGGCTAAGGTATCAGCCATACCACCCAAACCATTTGCTGTCCTTCTAATCCATCTGAAGGTAACACCAATTTCCCATGATAGACACCTTCTCTCATAATTTGCCTATGGGTCCAAACTCCTAAATTGTGTGTTTGGATCCACTCTATTACCAGCTTGGAGTACCCCTCCACTTCAATTTGATGAAGTCCCATCTGTTTAGCCAATTTCAAACCTTGGAGGAGGGCCAACACTTTTTAAGTTACTAAAAATGTTGTCCACGTCCAACCCCCATAAAGTTTTTGTATTTTTCTAATTTTTTAAAAAAGAAAAAGAACAAATGCGGGGCCATTTAAACTCGCCCACAACCAATTTAGTTTCCTTTTTATTAGGAAAATAAATATAATCACTCCCCTATAAAACATGGGCATCTCTTAACGCCAACCTATGCATTGCATAGGTGTTTTCTAGTCTTGTACTCTAAGTTTATTTTGTTATTGTAGTTCAACTTGTGGACTTCAATAAATAAGAAAAATAAGTAAAGGAGAGAAATTTCAGTTAGAATGAAGAAAAGGAAGAAAACGAAGAAGAAAATGGTATGGGGGAAAAAGGGCCATAAATTGCTTTCCTCAATTTACACACTTTTCCTACCTCCCCCGAGCAACATACCCAGGAGGTTGCTCCATATATACTTCCTCTTGAATAGGAGATAGGAGAATAAAGAATAAAAACAGAAGAAAGAAGAGAAACAAACTATTGATGGATAGGAGATAGGTAAGCAAAGGATACATAATGTGAAATGGGTGAGAAGTACAAGTATGCTTACCTTTACAGACAACAATAGGAAGATCGAGATCTAATTCAGGTGGATCTATTGATAGTGAAGACACTAGTTGTGGGTTTGAGGTCAAAGGAGCTACTGTTTTAGTGAAGACACTAAAACAGGATCCCATCCAATGGTCTGATAGGCTCCTCCAAAGTAGGTAGGGGAATAAATACACCACTAGAAACAAAAGGAAGAGGAATAAAAGGTGAGGGTTCCTGTCCAGAGAAGAAGGGTAAGTTCTCAAAAAATGTGACATCAAGAACAATAAATGACATATGGAGAATAGGGTCATAGCACTTGTATCCTTTCTAAATACGGGAATAGACAAAGAAGACACATTTTATAGCTCGAGCATCAAGCTTGTCATGACCAGGACCCAATTTATGGACAAAGCAAACACATCCAAAGACCCAAGGAGGAAGGGAACAAGGAGAAATAATGGGAAACAAGACAAAATAAGGTGACTAGCCCCCAATAAGAGAAGATGGTATACTGTTGATGAGAAAGCAAGCAATGAGAACAGCATCACTGCCATGGGTGTCAAAATAAGATTGAAAAAGACCATGAAAATATTCTTTAGCTGCTTAGCATTATCTTGTTTTAGCATGAAATAAGAGAAAGAAAACGATTCAAAAGTCTTTTACTAAATAGATCCATGCCATCCTAGAAAACTCATCAATAAAGGTTATAAAATATCTAAAACCATTGTAAGATGATACACAATCCAAACCCTATACATTGAAATGAACAAGAGAAAAGGACTCATGACTCTTTTATCTTCTCTAGGAACAAAAGAAACTCTATGGTGTTTTCTGAATTGACATGATTCACATTCTAACTGTGAAACTGACTCTAAAGAAGGGACTAACTTTTTCAAAACATAGATAGATGGATGGCCCAAACGACAATGCCACTGTTGTGGTGTAAAAGATGAATGAAGAGCTATCTGTGAACTATGGGTCTATGGTCATTCAGGTAGTACAGTCCTCCCACCTCATGATCTCCACAAATCATCCTCTTCATCATGAGATCTTGAAAGACACAATAAGATGGGTAGGTCATAGAGCAATTAAGGCTCAGTTTGGAAGGAGTACAAATACAAATATGTATAGTGCAAAACCTTATATTTTGTATTATTATGGGCGATCAGTCCTTTAAAGTCCTATTTCCTTTGCTCAATGTGTGGATGAAGTTCTAAGTTGAAATCAATGGAACAAGGCATTTGGAATGAATTAGTCGACTAACCTAGCTCTAATGCCATGTAGTTCAACTTATGGACTTTAGTAAATAAGAAAAATAAATAAAGAAAGGAGAGATATCTCAGTTAGAACGAAGAAAAGGAAGAAAAAGAAGAAGAAGACGAAGAGAGAGAGAAAGAGTGTATGTGTTGTATATTTCCAACCTATTAACCCAATTGTATTATGTTTAAATTGATGTGTAATTATAGAAACAACCTTGATTATATAAGAGAAAAAAAAACAGACAAGGAGTACATTGCCCTTACAAAACAGACTTTGACAATTAATAATGTTTTTTTTTATCAATAACAAAATTTCATTATAAATATAAGAAACAGGTACAGAAAATCAGAGAGAGTTAAAAAGGCTTAACTCTCTACAAGAGAGCAAAACAACATCTCACAATACAGCCCAGTACAATTGATCCCTTCCCATCCCCAGCAGTCCTGATAAAAAGGCATGGTGAGTCCATCAGGCCCAAGTGCATTAGATCTATCCATTGAAAAGATTGCTTCCCTAATTTCCTCCATCTCAAACTTTCTTTCAAGTCACCTCTTTCTCTCCTCAGATAGTCTTGGCCAGTCTGACCCTTCTACCCAGAATCTCTGATGTAAGGGCCTTCTATAAATCGACTTAAAATACTCCACAAAGGCCCTAGCAATCTCATCTTGCTGAGTAATAGCCACCCCATCAACCTCCAATTTACAAATCAGACTTTTCCTTCTCCTACTATTGGCCATTGCATGACATAATTTAGTATTTCTATCACCTTCCTTCACCCATTTATGTCTGGACTTTTGCCTCCAGCCAACTTCCTACTTGAAAAGAATGTCTTCTAGTCGCTTTCTGAGTTCCCATCTCTCTTGCTTGTCTCTCTCTCCAAAAGTACCCCCTTTCTCTTTGTCATCTAACTCCTCAATTTTATTGACCACTGGCTGTTTCCTGCCTTCAACCTTCCAAATTGTAAAGTGTTCCATTCCTTGATATTCAGTTTTAGCTCCTTAAATTTCAATGGAATTTCATACCCTCCCAATTAGCCCCTCGATTACCATCATTCCACCAATTCTTCACCAACTCAACAAAACCAGTGTGAGACAACCACATGTTCTCAAATCTGAAAGGTGTGGGTCCCCTCGTACCAAGATCCTCTCATACTAATACAATAGGCCAATGATCTGAAGTTACCCTGGGTAGAGTTCTAGAACTAACAACTCTCCAATGATCCTCCCAATCTGCTGTGAATAGAAACCTGTCCAATTTAGAGCATATAGGGTTCTCTTGAATGTTTGACCAAGTGAACAAATCATGCAACAAAGGAACCTCTTTCAACTGTTGTTGATAAGGTTGTTAAAGCTTCTCATGCTGGTACTACTACCTCTCCTCACACTACTGGTCTCCTCCAAGAATCTAATGACATTGAAATCTCCTCCTAAACACGATGGACCTCCCTAGAGTCCTCTAATGTCTCCCAATTCCTCCCAAAATTCACTTCTTTCTTCGTAACCAGTTGGGCCATATACGCTGGTTAGAACCCACTCAAAATTGTCTACCCTATGCCTGAATTTAATTGAGATAGTAAACTTTCCAATCAGCTCCTCCACTCCCCCTCCATAGCCTCTTCTTTCCACAGTGTGACAATTCCTCCTGAGCTCCCCCAAGAGGGGCATACAGCCCATTTAATGCCCCTGCCTTCCACAGAGATCTAGCATGTCTACTATTAAACTCCAACTTAGACTCCTGAATCAACACTACATCTGGATCTTCTTTCCTTAAAACTTCCTTTATTACTGGCTTTTTCCTAATCCCCCCTAATCCCCTCACATTCAAGTTGAGAATCTTCATCTTCACTTCCTATGGACCCTCCCTTTCCTCTCCCTTTCATCTTCATCTCCACTTCATACATTCACATTGTACATTAGCTGTTCATTTATGTCAAATAAGAAAGGGGAGAAAGGAAA